ATTGTTAACGAGGCTTATTAACTTTTTAACTTTACTTTTTAACTTTTCAATGAGCTTTTTACCTTTTTTTCTTGACTTAACTCTTTTTTTCAACTTAATTTCCAGTAGGTAATATATCAATCAAGGGCTCATCTTATTGGTCAAATGCCAATATCAGATGTACAGCCATGTAGCAGGATCTTTGCTGAATGGCTGGATATAGATCTAGTTCTTCTAGACCTCACTGAGGGACGGGGGGGGGACTTCATTTGTAAAGGGATGCAAGTGATCAAAAATGGTAACTTGCCCTATAAAGGGTTAAGAGCATTAAAAGAGCATTAAAAAGCATTTGATTCCTGTATAAGCCCTGCAAAAATATTGTTCCTCAAGAAAGCTTCATATGACAAAACCAATATTTTTTTATTTATTTAACTTTATTTAACCAGGAAAAAATCCCACTGAGATTAAAACCCTCTTTCAAGGGAGTCGTGGCCAAGAGGCAGCAAACTTACATACTGAACAGAAATACATTTAATTAAATGACAGGTACATTAAAAAAAAAGAAACATATAAAAAAACAATAACAGATAAGTGAAGTTTTAACTTAAAACCAATTAAGTATAAAAACTCTCTTTGTAAAAGAGAAATTCATATAAAAGTAGCTGCGTAGACCAAGGCCTTCTTCCCCAGCTCTGTGCGAGCAGAAGGATCAGCGAGCAACAGCTGATCATTGGATCTCGGCATGAGAAGCCATGTTTTTCTATTTAACTTAGGTACAAATATAAGAGGACAGCAATCCAAGGATTCCTTATCAATAAAAGTGCACCAATGACGGTGCCTCCTCATAGAGAGTGAAATGTCATTGTTCTACAGTTGGGATGAACCTCAGTGAAGCATGGTAAACATTTGAAGACATGAGGAAGGAGCGTTTTTATAAAACAGGTCACCATAATCTAAGACAGATTAAAAATGTCACAGACATGAGGCGCTTTTTTACTCCAAAATAAAAACATGTCTTATTACAAAAGATGAAATCCAATTTAATTTGAATTTGTTCAGAAGTTTGTCAAATTCAGGTCAGTCCTGGGATAGTCGTAGGATTTAGGACTATCTGACGGCCGTTCCCTGGTTGATCTGTGTGTCAAAAGTGTAACTTATTCATAATTTCAATCATTCACAAAATATCACCACACTAAGGGCAGTTGGGACTAGGCCTGGATGATAAATCCATATTTATTTATTTAATTCATTGTAATTTTATAAATATGTATTTTTTTGAAGATCTAGATTTTCTACAAGTAGTATTAACACAGTTGTAATTGGTTTGTTAAACAAAAGCTTACTATTTAATGGTGTAAAACCATGAGCTGCATCATGTCATGATTTTGAAGTTTCACAGTTTTCTGTTTAGTTGCATTCTACATTCAGGCCAGGTCCCAGAATAAAAATGTTTGACATAAAAGCTAATGTTTACTTTTATTTTAAGTTATTTCAGTCATTTGTTCTTTTTTTTATAATTATTATTATGGCACTAAATTGGATTTGGTTTGAAAAAAATAATTTTTTTTTATTTTAACTGATCTTGCTGAGCCCTAATGCAGACTGAATGCAGTTGTTTCAAATCTTTAATCTTTATGGAGTTTGCATGTTCTGCTCATGCATGTCTTTACCACTGCAGGTTTTTCAGCTTCCTCCACATTTTCTTAACTATCTTTAGTATGTGACTGTATGGCTGTTTGTCATCCTTTATCTCAATATGTTGGCCTAAGATGGACTGACATCATCCAAGTTCTTTCGAGTTAGACCCACTCCCCAGTGTAAATTGTAGTAGCATCAGTTTAGCATTTTGTCCCATTATGCACAGCCAGCGA